AACTTTCGTTGTCCGTGGGATTTGAACCCTAGACCTGCTACTTGGAGAGGGTGACGACTTGACCACTTCACTAAGCCACCACACATCAAATTAGGAATTTTGTACATATATGATCTTTTATAATATTATATAATTCCTATTTTGCTATTTATTATTAAGGGAATATAAATTTGTCGCACCTGCGATATGTCACACCTGCAACATGTCATACCTGATTCTGGCCAATCAAATCGCTTGATTTTGTAGACAAAAAAAAATTATTTTTTTAAAATTAAAAATTATACCTAATAAAATAAAAATTTTATATAAAATAACATATTGTATAATGTAAAATTTTATTTTAAACTTTTTCTAAGCTAAAAATATAGGTTACATATGCAAAAAAAAGTTTTATAAGAAAAATCAAAAATTGCCAATATTAGCATATATAAAACTTTTTTTACTAATTTAATCTATATTTATATTTTAAGTATTATATATAAAATTTTATTTTAAACAACTTCCACTAAGTTATAAATATAGATTAAATTAGTAAAAAAAAAGTTTTATATATGCTAATATTGGAAATTTTTGATTTTTCTTATAAAACTTTTTTTTGCTTATATAACCTATATTTTTAGTTTAGAAAAAGTTGTCCAGAATAAAATTTTACATTATATAATATGTTATTTTATATAAAATTTTCATTTTATTAGGTATAATTTTTAATTTTTTAAAAATAAAATTTTGAACCTACAAAATCGAGTGATTTTATTGGCCAGAATCAGGGTGCGACATGTCACAAGTGAGACAAATTTATATTCCCTATTATTAAATACTATTGTTAAATCCTATTTAAATTTTTAATAGAGAACTATATTTTAAAATGAATATTATTGCTATGTATTGGTTGTACTACGTATTGTAAATTTCATATATTTGTAATCTATATATTTTTTTAATTGAATTTTGTTAATTGTAATATCGCAGGTTATATGAATCAAACATTGTATACAGATAAGTTTTTTGGTGTTTTTTTTTCTTTTTATTGCAATACTAATCTACAATCTAACCTTTTTTTGTAGTGTTATCTTTTTTTTGATGCTAACATTTGTTAAATCATCATTTACTGGAGCCATCATTTATTGTGACTGTTGTTTTGTTGGAGTCATCATTTTGTTGGAGCTATTGGGCATTATTTACAGGACTAATTGTTAAATCCGTTATATGTTGGAGCTGTTGTTAGTTGAGCCATTGCTCATTACTGTTTATAAGTGTCTTTGCTCTTTTGCTGTAGTTTGTTATCTTTTATAACTGTTTCATTTTTTTAGCATAACACTTGCTGGTATCATCATTCATTGTATCGATTCTTTTGCAGTTATGTAGATGGTGGTTGGTGGTAAGTTTTTGATATAAATGTTGTGAATAAATTTGACACCTGACTGAGGTTGCAATTTTAGTAGACTAAAATTACACCTGCCTAAAATTTATAACTAATATGTGCAAAACTATTTAATTTCAGAGGCTAATTTCGGTCAAGTACAACATTTTTGGTCGGGTATCAACTTTAACACGAGCATAAACATTGGTTTTTGTTGATTAATAGTAGGTTAGAATAAAATTAAAGGTAGAAAATAATTAGAATTAAATGTTAGGATGAGATTACACGAAGTTAAGATTAGAGTAGTTTAGATATCAGGATAGGGTTGTGATAAAATGGTATACAGAAAGTAGGTTTGATGTTGGGTTAGGATCACACGAAGCTAGTATTAGACAAAAAGTAGTTCTAGTGATACTGTAAGGGTGAATTGCACTATAATCGTTATTACATATGTGTATAATAAATAACAATTTGCCAAATTTATAGTGTATACGAAGGGTGTTCTCAAGCAGCATGCTTGATGTGATTTACTAGTGATTGAGATAGTGCTCAAACATTACGGTGTTATTATTTAGACCATTTTGAGAACTATTAGTACTGATGATAATATGTTCATATATCTTTCTCAATGTGATTAATTCATGATTGTAGATAAATCTCAGGTTTCAAAAATAAAAACTGATAAATTAAATAGAGTATAGCAAAACTAGTAAAATATAAGTTGGTGAAACTAAGTGTTAGTCTCAAGTATTGCGATTAATTAAAATATTGCTTACAATTGATGCTTGAACAAACATTTTATCATCATTTAGTGATTATTGCTTTACAAATCAAAATAAATAAAAAAAATAATGAAAATGATTGATTAACGAAAGGATAAAATAATCTATAACAATTTCAAATTCTTTTCTTCACTTTCAGAATTTACTACAAATCAACAAAACACAAAACAAGCCTTTTTTATCTGCGAAAATTTTTAGTATAAGTAATAAGATCAATCAATACTGATAACAATTTTGATGATAATTAAAATATAAAAAGAGTGTACTTGAACAATTATTTTTTTTTATTAATCAATGAAAATTTTAAATTCTAATCTTTAATACATAGTATTGTGAATTTAACTTGCATATTTCTAAATTAAAATATAAAATATTTTTTATTTAAAAAAAATTGATTAAAAAAAAAAAATTCTGCACACATCACCAAATATCTGATTTATATAAAAAGGCCTGATTCAATAGATCTATACGTATATATTCTTAAATTGTTTCAAAGTATAGTTACTCTAAAATATGGAAGCTCAACTAATGACTTTAATATCAACAGAGCGTCAGTACTATTTTAGTACATTTTCTGAAGAAAAACTATTATGTAAAGGAGATTTAAAAGCAATTAGTTTTTTAACACCAATCTCTAAAAAGCAGCATCAAGAATTAGAAAGAAAATATCTTTGCCAAATGCATTACAACCATGAAGTTGTTAATAAAACTCATCATCAAATATATCAAAAAAAATTAAACAAATATTGTACTCATCCAAAGCATAATATATATATCCAAAAAACAAAAAAAAAGCACAGATAAAAAGTAAAGATGTGCTTATTAATTTACCTGCTCGATTTTATAGAATATTAAAACTTGATTCAACCACCAAGATATGTCATAGATGTATAAGGTTTACAGATAATGATCCAGATTATACTACAAATAAAGATTATATTCAGACTAAACAAGTTTCTCAAAAACAAAATATAAACAAACCAATCTGGAATGTCAAACCTTTTCAAAATTTAAGCAAGTCAATGAAATATAAGCAATATAAAAAAACTGCAGCTTCTTTTTCAGAAATTTTTTACAATGAAGTACAATCAATATCTTATTCAAGTGATCAAATAGTTTTAAACAAAATAATATTTTCAGTAAATAATCAACAGTTTTGCATTACATATAATGATAATCAGCAAAATAAAAACTTAAAAAAGCTAGCTATTGTATGTGCAATGGATGAACAACATATTTCTCGTGATGCATATCGGGCTATTACAAAAATTAAACAAGATTTATCTAAAGAATGGGTAATTTCTAGAATGAAACAACAGATTGATAGTTAAGTACAACAAACAGTTCCAATTCGAAGCATTAATATAAATTTAAATGCTGATACTTTACAAAAAACTAATTTAGAAATTAATAAATGTATGGATATTAATGATGCTGAAATTATTGAAGAGGTTACAAAATCAATGAGCAAGACAGTATATAGATCATTAAAAGATATTTTGTTATATATTATTCCTTTATTGATTCAAAAAGGAATTCTTCAATTATCTAATCCAACTTTACATATTCGAATTTCAGGTGATAGCCGTAATATTGGGAAAAAAGTAAAGTATATAATAGTTACATTTGCATTACTTAATAATCTAAACTCCATTTAAGTAGTACCAAAAGAAGGGTTCTGAGGTCTGAATTCCGACCCTAGCTTTCTTACTTTTCTAACGACCTCTACAAACCTTTCTAGATATATTTAATCATATATCGAATTCAAGCTCTAAAGTACGCTAG